GATTGAATATACCATGGACTGCAAGGAGGAAAAAAAAAGTCCATCCTGGAGAGGTTGAAGACGAGCTCCTCTTTGGAGGCAAGGATTCTGAAACTTCATCTTACATATTTGGCCATGTTGCACGGTGGGATCAGTCCTTGGAGAGGGACGTCCTATTTGGAAAGGTGGAAAGATAGCACAGGAAAAGAAGACCTTAGATCAGATAGATTGATTCAGTCACTGGGTAATGGGTATAAGCATGCCAGAGACAATAAGATATTGGCAAGCGATAGAGCAGGATTTAGGGCTGATGTACGTAAGGTCCCTATCGGTCTCGGGAGACATGACGGAGCTTAATAAGAACAGCTCTCGAGTTAATTTTTATTCATAGCAACGTACATCAGGTTTCTGAAATTGTACATACTATTATTAATTGGAGGATTCTACCCATCTCTACCTTGATTGATCACTGGTGCATTCCAGCTGTTGTCCATTTGTTTAGCATGGTAACACACTCAGCAGATGCCAACAAAGCTCCTTATAGATAAACGTGGAGATGGTGAAATCTTGCTCCCTCTCTCACTCACTCACTACGGTTAACTGGGAACCAAATCACAAATGATTCTCCAATGGGCTTTTTAAGACAATAAATCTCATGAGAAGAGGTTATTCACCTTTTTCCCTTCACCTTTCTCCTGAGGATTCAAACCTTCAGAGAACTTCCACCATTATTAATAATGCAACCTCCTAAAGACTAAAACACCAATATGGTTCTTTTTCTATTCCTTTGATAAAATTTCATTTATAATGTTTTTTTCTTTGATAATCTTTTAAAAAAATTTATATTTATGTCTTTATTGCAACTTAAGTTAATTTTTGTGCATGGTGTCAGAAATAATTGTGTGACTTTTAATTTAAAAAGTATCAAAGGAGAGACACACACACACACACACAGAAGTTGTTGGTGGTGCTGTGTAGAGGTGAATCAAAAGCAACTCTTACATAACTGGCACTCCAGTAGGTTTTCACAGGCAGCATTTTGCACAAGTGAAAGTTGTCTGTCTTTCTCATGGGCAACTGCTGGATTTGAACTGCCTGCTTTTGAGATGGTAGTGCACCCTTTTACAACTATACCTTTAGAGCTCCTTATATGAAATATTCCCAGGAGAAATTGTCAGATGAAGAATGGTCAGATCACTACAGGAAACTAGCCTTCAACCTACATCTGCACCTGCTCCTGGATCTGAATCCTGTGCTCTTGGCTCCCACAGACAGGTTTCTGTTTAGGCTCACACTGACTTCCCCTCACCGTGTCTCTTGCACAGTAATACATGGCTGTGTCCTCAGTTCTCAGACTGTCCATCTGCAGATACACCATGTTCTTTGCGTTGTCTCTGGAGATGGTGAATCGGCCCTTCACAGACTCTGTGTAGTATGTACTACCACCACTACTAGTAATACGTGAGACCCACTGCAGTCCCTTCCCTGGAGCTTGACGAACCCAACTCATTGAATAGCTACTAAAGGTGAACCCAGAGGCTACACAGGAGAGCTTCAGAGACCCTCCAGGCTGCCTCAGGTCTCCCCCAGACTCCACCAGTTGTACCTCACACTGGACACCTGTAAAACATAGTGACATTTTGGTCAGGCAAAGCATTACACATAT